TCTCGGCATGTTACACATTAATGTCTTCCAAGATTTTTAATGCCAAACAAAGCACGTGTGTCAGGAAACAAATCATGAATGTGACAAAACATCTGCCCTTTTCACATATATTTAGGCGTCAAATTTTGTTAAACATCTTTCGTGTTGGATGTTCTTCCAAACTTCAGACATGTATTTTTATTCTGTCGGTTCCATTGCGAATTTCCTCTCCTTTGGTATAGCTGAGAACATTTGTACAGTATTAACGAACAAAACGTATTACCATTATGAACGAGAAATTATCATGTCGATCACGAGTGTCCAGATGAAGCGCGGTGCTGCAAATTTATGTGGCCCTTCGTGGCCAAGCATACGTTTGCTTCTACAGTAATGTCTTTGTTATTTTGTATGTCAAATAATGAGACTTGTGTAAAGGAGCTTTAGCATCGGTGGAAACACCGTTCACGTTCTGTCATTGCTGCGGTATTCTGACAGAAAGAACAGGTATCTCCCACTGAGGATGTGTTACATGAGAGTGTATTAGTGGCACAGTATAACAACATCAGTTTCTACGGAGATGACAGTATCTTCTACGGAGATGAAAGTATCTTCTACGTTGATGACAGTATCTACTACGGAGATGAAAGTATCTTCTACGGAGATGAAAGTATCTACTACGGAGATGAAAGTATCTTCTACGTTGATGAAAGTATCTACTACGGATATGAAAGTATCTTCTACGTTGATGACAATATCTACTACGGAGATGAAAGTATCTTCTATGTTGATGACAGTATCTACTACGGAGATGAAAGTATCGTCACCGTAGCTAAGAGTATCTTCTGTGGGGATGAAAATATCTCATACGAAGATGAAAGTATCTTCTACGTAGATGAACATAATTGTCTACGGTGATGACAGTATCGTCCATGTAGATGAAGTATCTTCTACGGAGATGACAGTATCTTCTACGGAGATGAAAGTATCTTCTACGTTGATGACAGTATCTACTACGGAGATGAAAGTATCTTCTACGGAGATGAAAGTATCTACTACGGAGATGAAAGTATTTTCTACGTTGATGAAAGTATCTACTACGGATATGAAAGTATCTTCTACGTTGATGACAATATCTACTACGGAGATGAAAGTATCTTTTACGTTGATGACAGTATCTACTACGGAGATGAAAGTATCGTCACCGTAGCTAAGAGTATCTTCTGTGGGGATGAAAATATCTCATACGAAGATGAAAGTATCTTCTACGTAGATGAACATAATTGTCTACGGTGATGACAGTATCGTCCATGTAGATGAAAGTATCGTCTCTGAAGATGAAGTATCTTCTACGGAGATGAAAGTATCTTCTACGTTGATGACAGTATCTACTACGGAGATGAAAGTATCTTCTACGGAGATTACAGTATCTACTACGGAGATGAAAGTATTTTCTACGTTGATGAAAGTATCTACTACAAAGATGAAAGTATCTTCTAAATTGATGACAGTATCTACTACGGAGATGAAAGTATCTTCTACGTTGATGACAGTATCTACTACGGAGATGAAAGAATCTACTACGTTGATGACAGTATCTACTACGGAGATGAAAGTATCTTCTACGTTGATGACAGTATCTACTACGGAGATGAACGTATCTTCTACGTTGATGACAGTATGTACTACGTTGATGAAAGTATCTACTCCGGGGATGAAAGTATATTCTTCGTTGATGACAGTATCTTCTACGTTGATGAAAGTATCTTCTACGGAGATGAAAGTATCTACTATGGAGATGAAAGTATCTACTACAGAGATGACAGTATCTTCTACGTTGATGACAGTATCTTCTATGTTGATGAAAGTATCTACTACGGAGATGAAAGTATCTTCTACGAAGATGAAAGTATCTACTACGGAGATGACAGTATCTTCTACGGAGACGAAAGTATCTACTACGGAGATGACAGTATCTTCTACGGAGATGACAGTATCTTCTACGGAGATGACAGTATGTACTATGTTGATGAAAGTATCTTCTACGGAGATGAAAGTATCTTCTACGTTGATGACAGTATCTTCTACGTTGATGAAAGTATCGTCTACGGAGATGAAAGTATCTTCTACGTTGATGAAAGTATCTTCTACGTTGATGACAGTATCTTCTACGGAGATGAAAGTATCTACTACAGAGATGAAAGTATCTTCTACGTTGATGACAGTATCTTCTACGGGGAAGAAAGTATCTACTACAGAGATGAAAGTATCTACTACGGAGATGAAAGTATCTTCCACGTAGATGACAGTATCTACTAAGTTGATGACAGTATCTACTACGTTGATGACAGTATCTACTACGTTGATGAAAGTATCTACTACGTATATGAAAATATCTTCTTTCTTGATGAAAGTATCTTCTACGGAGATGAAAGTATCTTCTACGTTGATGACAGTATCTACTACGGAGATGAAAGTATCTTCTACGTTGATGACAGTATCTACTACGTTGATGAAAGTATCTTCTACGTTGATGACAGTATTTACCACATCGATGAAAGTATCTTCTACGTTGATGGCAGTATCTACTACGTTGATGACAGTATCTTCTACGTTGATGACAGTATCTACTACGGATATGACAGTATCTTCTACGTAGATGAAAGTATCGTCTCCGTAGATGAAAGTATCTTTTACGTTGATGAAAGTATCTTCTACGTAGACGAAAGTATCTACTACGAAGATGAAAGTATCTTCTGCGTTGATGACAGTATCTTCTACGTTGATGACAGTATCTTCTACGGAGATGAAAATATCTACTACGTTGATGACAGTATCTTCTACGTTGATGACAGTATCTTCTACGTTGACGTGAGTAGCTTCTGCGGAGTTTAAAGTATCGTCTTCGGAGAAGAAAGAATCTTCTACCTACATGCTATTTGTTTCAGACTGTGGCACTAATACGCTTCCATATCATTATAATGAGAATCAGTTGGATAACGAATTCATCTTGTTGATTATGTGGGATCTTGCCGCGGTGTTACATATGTTACTTATATATCACTAATGGTTATATCTAACCCAGGTTTGATTTAATTGATTGTACCGTACATGTGCAACATAACTGGCAGCAGCAACAAACATATATGTTTAAGTACTTCGCGACCTTTGATCGGGCTTTTAACGGTGTTCATTGTATCAACCACTGGTTTACTGACCCCAGCCTCAGAGACGGGCCTGTTTTAGTTGGGATAGTAATAAATAGCTGTCTGTGAGGTGATAATCAAGATTTGATCACTCGGTCCTTAATAATAAAATTGACTAGAACACAGGTAACAATCACAAAAACAATCCACCAGCACACAGTAGACGACTCTCTTCCCAGGTATGACAACAGTCAGCCGTTTCCACGACCTTTCCGCTCGGTCTGCTGTCATATGTTTTCTGTCCACTTCACCCCATGTAGATCTGGGTTAGAATTGGTCTTCTGTGACTCGGGTTTGTCATAAAAGGCGACTAACGGGATCAGTTGGTCAGTCACTCCGACTTGGTTGATGCGTGACATTTTATCTCAATTGCGTACATCGAATCTCATGGCGCCTGCCATAAAGACAAACAAACAGTCTAATTATGGCCCTTCGTGGACCTACAGGCCTGTGTCAGGAATGTATTGGTAACGGAAAGCAATCTACATCGCAATCCACTTGGACATATTGTTTTCTAACACCGCCTGAGACATTTTAGGATACCTTTGTCCGAAAGTTGCAGTTTGTCCCGTTGCCCGCTACTCTAGTAAGGTAGTAAATGGCGAGAACTGTGTGTATCTTTTTTTTTAAACCAGAAGAATTTCTTCCCTTTGAGAAGAGAATGTCATCTTATTTGCAACGTATTGGGAGAGTGTTTAAGAGGCATGCACGAGTTATCTCCCTTAGACCACTCAGCAATGAAAAGCTGACGCCAGTAAAAGGACTACCCAAGCGTTGAATATCATTTAGAGCTGGGACGGGTACAAAGTTTCTACCCGTGTACCCCACCCCCTATTACCCTACCCTACCCTGATACCCGTTATGTTAATTCCTGACATCAAATTTGCAAGAAATGGGAATATATTCTTCAGCTCGGAGGATAAAATTTTTGAGTTTTTCAATATCTTAAGCATGTATTACATTCAAAAGAAGTAAATTATGTCTAAATCTTCAAAGACAATACATCCTTTTAATCAGGAAAGAATAACATATTACATTGTTTATTCTATTAGTCACATGATGATAATGGGGTACCCGGGTCTAATTCATAACCCACCCGTCCCAGCCCTAATGTCATTATACACTCTGGGCACAAAGTTGTATTTGCACTGCCTTGTGTAGGATACACGTGATAAACTGTTATTTAATTTACAGCTTCCAATTCCTTTTCTAATGTGGACTTGACTGCCGGCCACTGGAAAAACAACCAAAGGTCAACCACAGAAACAGTGAATAAATTTAATTTATATACCTTTGGTCAGTATTCACACAACTGACAAGCAAAGGGCTCATACACAGGGGCTTGTAACGTTACAAGCCCCTGTGGGCTCATATAGGACCAGAGACTGCTCTGAGACTAAGAAGAGTTTGAAGTACTCCAATGAAAGTTTAGTGTTTTGAGTACAATACTTCCCGTGCTCACTTGCTGCATTATCAGATACATAATCAGGCATACTTCTGCGGGCATTAAAGTGACCAGGTATGTATATTCTGACAAAAAGGGGAAAATGCGACTTCCGCACTGTCATACAAGATCTCCAAATGCAAACTGTAACATCCATGGGGCCATTGTGTCATCTTGAAGGAATGCTACTCTATCCGCTGCCACTGGTGAGAGGCTGACTGTGAGGTAACAGAGAGGAGCAGACAGCAATACAAGATCAGGAGGACGTTCAGCTGACACCAAATAGAGAGGAACGGTCTGTCACTTTTGTTATTATCTCCCCAATCGAAATCTTTAGTGCTTGGAGGTAGAAATAGTATAATACATGGGAGATAACTCTTGTTGCCGGAAAGTTAATACCAAACTTGGAACGTTTGTGATAATCCAGCTAAATCAAATATGTCGTCAGATGTCGATACACTCATGGAAATGGGATTTTCGAGGAACAAAGCGTATGATTTGAGGCCATTATAAATAAATACTGTGACAATTAACTTGATAGATTTTCTGAATCCTCGGTGTCTGATTCGAAGTTATGAACCATGCGAAGTTGAAAGGGCACGTTATATGTTTTTTAGCCACGAACAATGCTGTTACATTACTTAACTACAATTAGTTACAAAGAAATAACTCAACTTTTGACAATGTCTCTACAGTTTTTATATGTTAATTGTTCCCTATAGTTATAGTTATTACTAAATGATGACACCATTTAATGATATGATTTAAATCAGTGCCTGAGACTAGTTTCAGCAGACCCTTAATTTGATTGAAATCGTCCAAACTATGCGAACTCGTCATATTTGGGTGAATGAAATCAACCATTAAACAACTCAATAACAGTTTATTTCCCATCAACCTGTGCATTTTACCGGTTAATGTTACGTCTTGTTATTGCTCTGTGGAAGATAAACACTTGGAAAGCATATGTATGAAAACGTGCATGATCAAATTGTTTCCCACACAATTACAGCTGATCCCAGTAGAACGTCGCTGTGAGAAACAATGAAAAATGTTCACAACATTAGTCCAAGAGAAGTAAGGCATATCAGATCAGCCATTCAGTCACTTAAAGGACAAATTTATAACATAGCTGTTGACTTTAAGGTGTCCTTTGCACATTCATTTTCGTACTTGAAATATCATCAATACATCAATGTATTTGCAATTTCAGCCAGTTGTTAGGTTTACCAAAGTGTAGACTGTCAGAAATAGATAAGATCTTGAAAATCTTCAAGAATGTCTACCTCTTATTTATCTGTAGCAAAGTCTAGACTAGGTAAAATAACATCAAACCTATAAAATACAAACAGTGGTCATGATTATTGCTCTCCAAAATATAAAGACTTGGAAAGCATATGTACTGTTAAGACTTATTTTTGAATTAGTATTTATTTACTGTGTGACTGTCCCCAACCTCTGTCAATGTTACGAAAATAACACAGTTACAAACCTACACATGTAAAGATGTTAAATTTGCAAAGAAGCCATATTTGATGTTTGCACTTTGACCCTGCTTTTAACATCTCTGAAATGTATTTCCACACACTGTAAATATAATCTGTTAAGAAACCATTTCACTGATCAGCAGAAACTGTATGTAATCACTCCTTAAAATGCTAAGGTTCCAATTTGTCCAAGAGGTCTGAATCTATTTTTTTTTTTAAGAGGTCTGAATCTTAATTTATGATACTGCTTCCACAATTTTGAAATTTGGTATCTGCTTATCCACATTTCACCATGTTCACTAATGTGGTATCATTATTTGGGTCAGTAGACCACCATCAATGTCAGTACTGCTTGGAGATTCCAGGTTAGAGTAGGGACACAGCATGATTGGTTGAGACAACCAAATACTACAGGTGGTCATACTTCTGTCCTGTAAGGGGAATATTTATGAGTTTCAGTGATGAACCACCACCCCAAAAAACCAAAAATAATATCACTCTCTGCTGAATATTGCATTGTTACTACTTTCTTTTCAACAAACTGAGTCTGACAATAGTTGATAAACTTCTTGTTATTTTCAGGCAAAGGGCCTTAGCTAAAACCAATTATAAGGGAGTTCAGTTAGCTATGGATTGGTAAGTAAAACTGTTTGCTGTATGCTATATATTGTGATTGACACAAGTACCTATGATGGCGACCCGTGAAGGTCCGGGTTAGAAGTGATATTCAGCAATCCATGCTTGTCATAAGAGGCGACTAACGGGATTGGGTGGTCGGGCTCGCTGAGTGGGTTGACACATGTCATCGGTTCCCAATTGCGTAGATCGATGTTCATGCTGTTGATCACTGGATTGTCTAGTCCAGACTCGATTATTTACAGACCGCCGTCATATAGCTGGAATATTGATGAGTGCGGCGTAAAACTAAACTTACTCACTCACCTATGATGGCATGACGTTTCAGGAATTCCAGATTAGAATTAGTCTAGCAACCAATACCGATTGCAAGATGTGACCAAACAACCCGGGTGATGAGACTCAGTGACTTGGTGAGATAACCTGAAAGGATGACTTATATCAATCATACCATGCAACCATCAAGTCACAGGGATGAGGGCGGTAGGGTAGCCTAGTGGTTAAAGTGTTCGCTCGTCATGCAGTAGACCCGGTTCGATCACCCACATGGGTACATTGTGTAAAACCCATTTTTGGAGTCCCCAGCCGTGATATTGCTGGAATATTGCTAAAAGTGGTGTAAAACCAAATTTACTCACTCACAAGGAGGAATGTGTATATGCCCAGAATGATGACTAAGCATTGATCCTGTCCAACATTGTTGAGTTTGGGATATTGGCATTTAGAGCATAAAGTCATATAAAGAACTGATACAAAACAGAAAGATTATATATAGTTTTCTTAAATTTAAAAATTAGTTATTTCACGTATTCCTTAGATTAATATTTAAACTATACCAGTACTTCATAATAAATTCCAGTTAGATACATGTCTGTACGGTCACTGACTCCTATACATTTCTTATGAAGGTTGTTTGCCCATGAAGGAGATGCAGACATTGATGAACCTTTCGAAGCTCCCAAGGGAAATATTCTTGGTCAAACAGAAGGTAAGGACAATAGTTTTCAGCAATACAGTGAGCAGAGGTCTTGTCCTGTTGAAGACCCTGGTTGTTACGATGCTAGGGAAACAGTATTACAGAACTCATCATAATACATAAGTGTTTTAACCTCAATGTCATGCCATGCATGAAACAGTCTTGTTTGTGCACCAGTATGTAAGTATGTGATGTTGGTTTCAGAGCCCCCCTGCCCCTCCCACAACTGCAGGGGGAGAGGGTCCGCAACCCCAAGATGGAGAAACTATGGAGGCCAAGTCACTCAAGTGTGATGAGTGAGTACTCAGGTTCAAGATCTAGAAGATTCCTGGTTACCCTTGACACCAAAAGCACACACATGTAGTTACTACCACACTGCTACTTACACAGGAGCTGTGGGGTATCCTAGTGGTTAAAGGGTTCGCTCATCACGCCAAAGACCCGGGTTCGATTCCCCACATGGGTACAATGTGTGAAGCCCATTTCTGGTGTCCCCTGCCTTGATGTTGCTGGAATATTGCTAAAAGCGGCATAAAACTAAACTCACTCACTCACTACTTGCACCAGAAAGTAATATATTCCTGACCACTAAGTATTGTTTAAACGCAGTGTTCTCCTGAACCTTAAATAGAAACACTCGTGGCACATGTGGCCTCACCATAGCCATTTATTTTTCAAAATTGTCTGCTGTTCACCCAGCAGTGAATGGATACTTTGGTTGGGAAATGACTGTTAACGTTCTAGCTACTTGCAGACCACTTGGGTTAACTGGGGTAATAATGTCTGCACTTTGCATACAATTTGTCTGAGTATCTGAGTATATTAGGTGTAAACATATTATACTACATTGTTATATACAGTTACAGCAACTTTCAACAATGAATTATGCTGCCACATTATACTTATTGAACTATTTAAACATGGAAGACTAGTGGGTTACGTCATACCATAACATGTTCACTGTACATGCTAGAAGCCTCACATATGGTGATTGATGTTTTATTGCCCACCGTGAAAGCTTCTTAATACCCATCCTCGTTATGAGTGGGTGAGTGACTTTCGTTTTATGCCGCACTCAGCAATATTCCAGCTATATGGTGGCAGTCTGTAAATAATTGAGTCTGGGCTAGAGAATCCAGTGATCAACAGCACATCTATGCAATTGTCTGACCACCCAATCCTGTTAGTCGCCTCTTATGGGTTACTGATGACCAATTCTAACCCTTGTCTCCACGGTTATCGTTATGACAACAGTCATCAAATACATCAACATGACATTATATAATGACCACAATCTTCCGCTACAATTTATGCAAGATTTCATTCAAATGGTAGTTTAAATAAGTAGCATACAATACATGTTTTTCAAAGTTTTAAGCATTCGAGATGAAGCATCCCTAATATCTTCGATTGAACAAAGAATTGTTCACCTTATGTTGACTGCAGATGTGGCAAGTTGCTGAAGTCAGGTTTGGACGCCCAGGCCCATGCAGCTCGCACACAGCATGCCAGCTTTTCTGAAAGCACAGAGGAGATCAAACCACTCACAGAGGAGGAGAAAAAACAAAAGCTACAGGAGTGAGTTGACAAAAGTGTCTGCAGTGGGTTGTACTAACAACCTAACCCAACAAGAGCTGCTTTCTGAAACTTGTCCTCTCTTTACTGATGAACTCAATGTTCAGTTTAACTTCCTGTCAGATGTATTACATACTGGGAATTACTTTATCAGATAACCATTATACTTATTAAACTTCATAGTTGGTTGACATCTAAATACTAGTAAGTGATGTTGTCAGTCTGTAGGACAGTGTTCTAGTGAGTGATGTCAGTCTGTAGGACAGTGTTCTAGTAAGTGATGTCAGTCTACAGGACAGTGTTCTAGTAAGTGATGTCAGCAGGTAGGACAGTGTTCTAGTAAGTGATGTCAGCAGGTAGGACAGTGTTCTAGTAAGTGATGTCAGCAGGTAGGACAGTGTTCTAGTAAGTGATGTCATTCTACAGGACAGTGTTGTAGTAAGAGATGTCAGCCTGTAGGACAGTGTTCTAGTAAGTGATGTCAGCCTGTAGGACAGCGTTCTAGTAAGTGATGTCATTCTACAGGACAGTGTTCTAGTAAGTGATGTCTGTCTGTAGGACAGTGTTCTAGTAAGTGATGTTGTCGGTATGTAGGACAGTGTTCTAGTAAGTGATGTTGTCGGTCTGTAGGACAGTGTTCTAGTAAGTGATGTTGTCAGTCTGTAGGCCAGTGTTCTAGTAAGTGATGTTGTCAGTCTGTAGGCCAGTGTTCTAGTAAGTGATGTCAGTCTGTAGGACAGTATTCTAGTAAGTGATGTTGTCAGTATGTAGGACAGTGTTCTAGTAAGTGATGTTGTCAGTCTGTAGGCCAGTGTTGTAGTAAGTGATGTTGTCAGTCTGTAGGCCAGTGTTCTAGTAAGCGATGTCAGTCTGTAGGCCAGTGTTGTAGTAAGTGATGTTGTCAGTCTGTAGGCCAGTGTTCTAGTAAGTGATGTTGTCAGTCTGTAGGCCAGTGTTCTAGTAAGTGATGTTGTCAGTCTGTAGGCCAGTGTTCTAGTAAGTGATGTTGTCAGTCTGTAGGCCAGTGTTCTAGTAAGTGATGTCAGTCTGTAGGCCAGTGTTGTAGTAAGTGATGTTGTCAGTCTGTAGGAACAGTGTTCTAGTAAGTGATGTTGTCGGTCTGTCGGACAGTGTTGTAGTAAGTGATGTTGTCGGTCTGTAGGCCAGTGTTCTAGTAAGTGATGTCAGTATGTAGGACGGTGTTCTAGTAAGTGATGTTGTCGGTCTGTAGGACAGTCTTTTAGTAAGTGATGTTGTCAGTCTGCAGGACAGTGTTCTAGTAAGTGATGTTGTCAGTCTGTAGGCCAGTGTTCTAGTAAGTGATGTTGTCAGTCTGTAGGCCAGTGTTCTAGTGAGTGATGTTGTCAGTCTGTAGGCCAGTGTTCTAGTAAGTGATGTTGTCAGTCTGTAGGCCAGTGTTCTAGTAAGTGATGTTGTCAGTCTGTCGGACAGGGTTCTAGTAAGTGATGTTGTTGATCTGTAGGACAGGGTTCTAGTAGGTGATGATGTCAGTCTGTAGGACAGTGTTCTAGTAAGTGATATAGTCAGTCTGTAGGACAGTGTTCTAGTAAGTGATGTCAGTCTGTAGGCCAGTGTTCTAGTAAGTGATGTCAGTCTGTCGAACAGTGTTCTAGTAAGTGATGTTGTCGGTCTGTCGGACAGTGTTGTAGTAAGTGATGTTGTCGGTCTGTAGGACAGTGTTCTAGTAAGTGATGTTGTCAGTCTGTAGGCCAGTGTTCTAGTAAGTGATGTTGTCGGTCTGTAGGACAGTGTTCTAGTAATTGATGTTGTCAGTCTGTAGGCCAGTGTTCTAGTAAGTGATGTTGTCAGTCTGTAGGCCAGTGTTTAAGTGAGTGATGTCAGTCTGTAGGCCAGTGTTCTAGTAAGTGATGTCAGTCTGTAGGCCAGTGTTCTAGTAAGTGATGTCAGTCTGTAGGCCAGTGTTCTAGTAAGTGATGTCAGTCTGTAGGACAGTGTACTAATGAGTGAATGCTGTTGTTGTCAGTCTACAGGACAGTGTTCTAGTAAGTGATGTCAGTCTGTAGGCCAGTGTTCTAGTAAGTGATGTTGTCAGTCTGTAAGGCAGTGTACTAATGAGTGAATGATGTTGTTGTCAGTCTACAGGACAGATTGAAGCAGCGACGTCTGGCAAAGGAGGAGGAAGAAAAGAAGGAACAGATCGCCAGGGAGAAGGCTCGTCGCACCACAAACAAGGAACTGGGTCTGGCCAAGCAGAAGTACGAGCATCTTGTCAGCTACCAATGCCATATGCCTCTGGGCAGGACTTGAACATGTCAGCTTGATGTGTTAATAACTCATGTTTTTTAAACATGACTAAATCGCCATTCACTGCATTTTGCGTAATTTAGTGTATGTCTGAATTTGAATGTTGTTTTTGTTGTTGTTTGATCAAATCTCCAATGTCAATTCTGAAACATCGGCAATGAACTGAGAATCACTAAGAATGTTATGGAATATGGAAATATACACAAACAGGAACATTGAAGTGAACTTAAGGCCATATTTGTAAAATCACATCACATGTATGTTGGTTATGTTTCGCCTGCTACATCACAACTATAATTCAAAACCAGCTTCCTCACACAAATTCCTGAATTCCTCATACAGTTCTAAATATAATGACAAAAGGACTTTGTCACCAACATCTCAGAAAAATCTAGCGAAATATATCAGGTCTGAAAATGAATATCGCGCTGGGAAAGGACCACTTGTTTGAAATGTAAACAAAGCCAAGCTCAGATTTGACACTGTGTATCTTGTTCTCCCACTGTGAGAGATCTGTTCATCTACTCCTTGCATACACTTGCCCATAAGTGTCAGAACATGCATGGGAAGAGTATCGAAACAAAAACTAGTGAAATAAAAATGGGTGTGTTCAAATGATTTCCTACATTCAACACAATGTTTTATAGTTACCCTAAGTGTGATGCCATGCGTGAAGCCAACTCACACACAACGATGATGGTGCTTCTCCTCATTTCTAACTTTTCCCTTGGTTACAATGAAAACAAAAACATAACATGCAGATTGTCAGAATGTTTCAGATACATGTAGGTTACAGATGTAACCTAGGTTTATGTGAATAGATGCATGTAGGTTACAGGGTACCGGTTACAGCTGTACACTTGGTTTTATGTGAATAGATACATATAGGCCACAGCTAACACCTGGGTTTATGTGAATAGGTACATGTAGGTTACGGATGTAACCTGGGTTTATGTGAATAGGTACATGTAGGCCACAGGTTACACCTGGGTTTATGTGAATAGGTACATGTAGGTTACAGATGTAACCTGGGTTTATGTGAATAGATACATGTAGGCCACAGGTTACACCTGGGTTTATGTGAATAGGTACATGTAGGTTACAGATGTAACCTGGGTTTATGTGAATAGATACATGTAGGCCACAGGTTACACCTGGGTTTATGTGAATAGGTACATGTAGGTTACAGATGTAACCTGGGTTTATGTGAATAGATACATGTAGGCCACAGGTTACACCTGGGTTTATGTGAATAGGTACATGTAGGTTACAGATGTAACCTGGGTTTATGTGAATAGATATATGTAGGCCACAGGTTACACCTGGGTTTATGTGAATAGGTACATGTAGGTTACAGATGTTACATGGGTTTATGTGAATAGATACATGTAGGCCACAGCTTACAACTGGGGTTTTCCTCGTCTATGTGTAGGTCACAACTGTAGGTCAGGGTACATGTGAATAGACAGGTGAAGGTCACAGCCATCCTATGCTGAGAAAGTGTAATCCCAAATATAACATGTGTTACATGGATATTATCCTAAATGTTGCAAGCTTTGCATTTTATTCAAAATGTCTTGTGATTACGTAAGTAAACTTATGTGATCTTATACATGATCATGTTCGTATTCCATTGACAATCAATAACAAGTATCCTGTGTTTTAATTATGCTGACAGGATTGAGGAAGAGGAGATAAAGAAGATAGCAGAACAAAGAAGGCGAGAGAAAATGGAAGAGAAGCAGGCCAGGTGAGCAGAAGACATGCCCACACAGTTGCTTCCCTTCACCAATAACAATGATTTTTCTTCCTCTTAAATCAAAATGCTAACCAAAAACAATTAGTTAACTTAAGCTGCATGATGTGTTCATTTGAAACATTGCCTCAAATGGCTACATACTCTTGTATATTTTGCTGTGTATAAAGTCTGGAATATTGTGCATGGTCACATGATTAATAAAGTCAGTATGCTAAAGGATATAAAACTACGTTACAGTCTTGTTCTACCCGCTCGAGAACTTGGAGTTACTGCCATATGTGAAACTTAGACACTGTCATACAAGATTGTAGCAACTTCTCAACAAACATAGTTCACTGTTGTGTATTGTAGATGACAGACATTCTAGGTCAGGCAGTTTGCTGTCTTAAACTCTATCCACTAGTGTAATAAAATGTGTTATGGTATAGTAAAATCAGCATGAACATCTGGGTTAGAATTGAATCTTCAGTAACCCATGCTTGTCGTAAGTGGAGACTAACAGGATTGGGTGGTCAGGCTTGCTGACCTGATTAACACATGTTATCGTATCCCAATTGCGTAGATTGATGCTCATGCTATTGGCCACTGGATTGTCTGACTCAATTATGTACAGACCACCGCCATATAGCTGGAATATTGCTGAGTGCTGCATAAAACTACACTCACTCACTCACCCAAGACTGAAAATGATGCTGATATGAAATTTGTGCAAGCAGACTCAAACAGTTTTGGCCTGAGGAGTTATCAAGAACTTGGTGTCCATTTAAGCTCAGGGTAGTGCTGTTGTTTCAGTCTAGTAATGAATATACAAAATTCTGACAGTGTGTCTGTACTTGTGAGTTGCCTCCCTTGTACTGTTTTCGTTTTGTTTCAGAGAGCGTGTGAGACAGCAGATAGCCAAGGACAAAGCTGACAGGGCTGCCAAGGTAAGCCTGACATATGTATGCCATCTCCCTCTCCATGTGTTAACCTGCTGGCTCCTCCACAAACCCACCTATGACAGTGTGCTTACTTAGTTATTTCCAGGGATATATACCGGTACATAAGCATTTTCAGAGGAGGTTATCAGACCCAGGCTGAATCAAATTATTGTTGTAGTTTCCAAATTGTGGTTAAACATTTGAAATTTCATGTTAATATAATAATTACCATGACTATAAAAGTATCACTTTACTTCTGGTCAATACAAGGGTAGTTCTTTTTAATACAAGGGAAATACTTTCACAGTTACTGGTGGTGTTAAGTCATTGCATTAGATGCATTGTTAAAATATCTCTCAGTCTAAGGAAATAAGAACTTTTAAGAAATTTCACAATTTTGGACCGCCTCTTTCAATGTCCTTGCCAGGTGCTCTTGGTGTCAAATCCTAGATACTCCTCTGATATATTTGTGTACTGTTCACAAATTGAAATTCCTTAGATCCTGTAGTGGATGGTCAATTAATTTGTTCAGTTATCTTACCCTGAATTTAATAGCTTTCTAGATAACCGTATTAAGAAGTCAAGTGAGTTTGTGTCCTGGTGTTGTCTGTCCTCCAGGTGTCCGTCAATCATTAATGTTTATATTTTTATACATTTTCTGAAAAGCCTATGGAGATGACACTTTGTTATTTAAACAACTATTGCTGTGTGTAACATGTATGTTGTATACCTAATAACTTACAAGACAATATTTGGCATGCTTTCATTGAACTAAAACCTTTGAACTTCACACAACATTTATCTAGTGTCCTCTGAAACTGCAAATCCTGTGATGGTGAAACTTTGTATCATGGTCCTAGTTACCGTATTTCTAACATGTCTAAAAAGAACTTGAAGATGTCTTGTACAACTTCAAACATGGGTACATATATTTCTCCATAACTGAAGTGAGCTGCAGACAATTGTGGCCCTATGTTTCTGTAGGAATTATTGCTGATGTGCCGATGTGAAATATTAATGAAAGATTAGTGTGATTATATAGCCGCGAGACCGTGTGTTCAGTGTTGCTGTGATGCTTGTACACTATGGACTGATTCTATTAATGCGAGATTGTGTGTTGAGAGGGATTGTGATGCTTGTACACTATACACTGACTGTATTATTGCGAGATTGTGTGTTGAGAGGGATTGTGATGCTTGTACACTATACACTGACTGTATTATCGTGAGATTGTGTGTTGAGAGGGATTGTGATGCTTGTACACTATACACTGACTGTATTATTGAAGATTGTGTGTTGAGAGGGATTGTGATGCTTGTACACTATACACTGACTGTATTATCGTGAGATTGTGTGTTGAGAGGGATTGTGATGCTTGTACACTATACACTGACTGTATTATCGTGAGATTGTGTGTTGAGAGGGATTGTGATGCTTGTACACTATACACTGACTGTATTATCGTGAGATTGTGTGTTGAGAGGGATTGTGATGCTTGTACACTATACACTGACTGTATTATCGTGAGATTGTGTGTTGAGAGGGATTGTGATGCTTGTACACTATACACTGATTGTATTATCGTGAGATTGTGTGTTGAGAGGGATTGTGATGCTTGTACACTATACACTGACTGTATTATCGTGAGATTGTGTGTTGAGAGGGATTGTGATGCTTGTACACTATACACTGACTGTATTATCGTGAGATTGTGTGTTGAGAGGGATTGTGATGCTTGTACACTATACACTGACTGTATTATTGATGTTGAGAGATTGTGTGTTGAGAGGGATTGTGATGCTTGTACACTATACACTGACTGACTGTATTATCGTGAGATTGTGTGTTGAGAGGGATTGTGATGCTTGTACACTATACACTGACTGTATTATCGTGAGATTGTGTGTTGAGAGGGATTGTGATGCTTGTACACTATACACTGACTGTATTATCGTGAGATTGTGTGTTGAGAGGGATTGTGATGCTTGTACACTATACACTGACTGTATTATTGCGAGATTGTGTGTTGAGAGGGATTGTGATGCTTGTACACTATACACTGACTGTATTATCGCGAGATTGTGTGTTGAGAGGGATTGTGATGCTTGTACACTATACACTGACTGTATTATCGTGAGATTGTGTGTTGAGAGGGATTGTGATGCTTGTACACTATACACTGACTGTATTATCGTGAGATTGTGTGTTGAGAGGGATTGTGATGCTTGTACACTATACACTGACTGTATTATCGTGAGATTGTGTGTTGAGAGGGATTGTGATGCTTGTACACTATACACTGACTGTATTATCGTGAGATTGTGTGTTGAGAGGGATTGTGATGCTTGTACACTATACACTGACTGTATTATCGTGAGATTGTGTGTTGAGAGGGATTGTGATGCTTGTACACTATACACTGACTGTATTATCGTGAGATTGTGTGTTGAGAGGATTGTGATGCTTGTACACTATACACTGACTGTATTATCGTGAGATTGTGTGTTGAGAGGGATTGTGATGCTTGTACACTATACACTGACTGTATTATCGTGAGATTGTGTGTTGAGAGGGATTGTGATGCTTGTACACTATACACTGACTGTATTATCGTGAGATTGTGTGTTGAGAGGATTGTGATGCTTGTACACTATACACTGACTGTATTATCGTGAGATTGTGTGTTGAGAGGGATTGTGATGCTTGTACACTATACACTGACTGTATTATCGTGAGATTGTGTGTTGAGAGGGATTGTGATGCTTGTACACTATACACTGACTGTATTATTCGATTGAGATTGTGTGTTGAGAGGATTGTGATGCTTGTACACTATACACTGACTGTATTATCGTGAGATTGTGTGTTGAGAGGGATTGTGATGCTTGTACACTATACACCTGACTGTATTATCTGAGATTGTGTGTTGAGAGGGATTGTGATGACTGATTGTGTGTTGAGAGGGATTGTGATGCTTGTACACTATACACTGACTGTATTATCGTGAGATTGTGTGTTGAGAGGATTGTGATGCTTGTACACTATACACTGACTGTATTATCGTGAGATTGTGTGTTGAGAGGGATTGTGATGCTTGTACACTATACACTGACTGTATTATCGTGAGATTGTGTGTTGAGAGGGATTGTGATGCTTGTACACTATACACTGACTGTATTATCGTGAGATTGTGTGTTGAGAGGATTGTGATGCTTGTACACTATACACTGACTGTATTATCGTGAGATTGTGTGTTGAGAGGATTGTGATGCTTGTACACTATACACCTGACTGTATTATCGGAGAGATTGATTGAGAGGATTGTGATGCTTGTACACTATACACTGACTGTATTATTGCGAGATTGTGTGTTGAGAGGATTGTGATGCTTGTACACTATACACTGACTGTATTTATCGTGAGATTGTGTGTTGAGAGGATTGTGATGCTTGTACACCATATACACTGACTGTATTATCGTTGAGAGATGTGTGTTGAGAGGATTGTGATTGTGTTGAGAGGATTGTACACTATACACTGACTGTATTATCGTTAAGATTGTGTGTTGAGAGGATTGTGATGCTTGTACACTATACACTGACTGTATTATCGTGAGATTGTGTGTTGAGAGGATTGTGATGCTTGTACACTATACACTGACTGTATAACACCGACGTGAGATTGTGTGTTGAGAGGATTGTGATGCTTGTACACTATACTGACTGATTGTGTGTTGAGAGGATTGTGATCATACACTTGAACTGTATTAGATTGTGTGTTGAGAGGATTGTGATGCTTGTACACTATACACTGACTGTATTATCGTGAGAGATTGTGTGTGATTGTATTGAGAGAGAGAGAGGATTGTGATGCTTGTACACTATACACCGACTGTATTATCGTGAGATTGTGTGTTGAGAGGATTGTGATGCTTGTACACCTATACACTGACTGTATTATCGCGAGATTGTGTGTTGAGAGGGATTGTGATGCTTGTACACTATACACCGACTGTATTATTGAGATTGTGTGTTGAGAGGATTGTGATGCTTGTACACTATACACCTGATTAATAGAGATTGATTGTGTTGAGAGGATTGTGATGCTTGTACACTATACACTGACTGTATTATCGTGAGAGATTGTGTGTTGAGAGGGATTGTGATGCTTGTACACTACACTGACTGTATATCATCGGAGATTGTGTGTTGAGAGGGATTGTGATGCTTGTACACTATACACCTGACTGTATTATCGTGAGATTGTGTGTTGAGAGGGATTGTGATGCTTGTACACTATACACTGACTGTATTATCGTGAGATTGTGTGTTGAGAGGATTGTGATGCTTGTACACTATACACTGACTGTATTATCGTGAGATTGTGTGTTGAGAGAGGATTGTGATGCTTGTACACTATACATGACTGACTGTATTATCGTGAGATTGTGTGTTGAGAGGATTGTGATGCTTGTACACTATACACTGACTGTATTATCGTGAGATTGTGTTGAGAGGGATTGTGATGCTTGTACACTATACACTGACTGTATTATTGAGAGGAGATTGTGTGTTGAGAGGGATTGTGATGCTTGTACACTATACTGATTGTATTACGTGAGATTGTAATATCGTGAGATTGTGTGCTTTGTACACTATTGAGAGGATTGTTGATGCTTGTACACTATACACTGACTGTATTATTGAGATTGTGTGTTGAGAGGGATTGTGATGCTTGTACACTATACACTGACTGTATTATCGTGAGATTGTGTGTTGAGAGGGATTGTGATGCTTGTACACTATACACTGACTGTATTATTGTGAGATTGTGTGTTGAGAGGGATTGTGATGCTTGTACACTATACACTGACTGTATTATCGTGAGATTGTGTTGAGAGAGGATTGTGATGCTTGTACACTATACACTGACTGTATTATCGTGAGATTGTGTGTTGAGAGGATTGTGATGCTTGTACACTATACACTGACTGTATTATCGTGAGATTGTGTGTTGAGAGGATTGTGATGCTTGTACACTATACACTGACTGTATTATCGTGAGATTGTGTGTTGAGAGGGATTGTGATGCTTGTACACTATACACCGACTGTATTATTATGAGATTGTGTGTTGAGAGGGATTGTGATGCTTGTACACTATACACTGACTGTATTATCGTTGAGAGATTGTGTGTTGAGAGGGATTGTGATGCTTGTACACTATACACTGACTGTATTATCGTGAGATTGTGTGTTGAGAGGGATTGTGATGCTTGTACACTATACACTGACTGTATTATCGTGAGATTGTGTGTTGAGAGGGATTGTGATGCTTGTACACTATACACTGACTGTATTATTGTGATGAGATTGTGTGTATGAGAGTGATTGAGAGGTGATGCTTGTACACTATACACTGACTGTATTATCGTGAGATTGTGTGTTGAGAGGGATTGTGATGCTTGTACACTATACACTGACTGTATTATCGTGAGATTGTGTGTTGAGAGGGATTGTGATGCTTGTACACTATACACTGACTGTATTATCGTGAGATTGTGTGTTGAGAGGGATTGTGATGCTTGTACACTATACACTGACTGTATTATCGTGAGATTGTGTGTTGAGAGGGATTGTGATGCTTGTACACTATACACTGACTGTATTAACGCAAGATTGTGTGTTGAGAGGGATTGTGATGCTTGTACACTATGGACTGATTGTAGTTTGGCAAGACCAGCCAGGAATCTACACCAGCAGCAGCGTCACCCCCTGCTGCCACACAGACAACCACCGCAGCAGCAGCCCCCAAGGAGTATGACACCTGCAGGCTACAGGTACGTTCCACAGTGAGAGAACTTTCACCACCAGCATTTAGCATCTGCTAATGTCACATTGCTAGCTTATCACTTGGTAAACCAAGCTTGACCCTAGGATTTAGTCATATGCATTCTATACCTGTTTCGTCTGCAATCAAGTTTTCTTTTACACTGTTGCTACTTGTGTTGACAGATCCGCCTGACCAATGGCCAGGCACTGACCCAAACCTTCAAGGCCAAGGAACCTCTTGCTGCAGTGCGTCTGTACATCGAGATGAACCGGTCCGACGGCGCTGGACCCTTCTCCCTCATGACATCATTCCCCCGCAAGGTCTTCTCTAGTGACGACATGGAGAAGCCGCTAGATACATTAGGTGGGTTCATGGTAACAACGTATCTTTCATTGTGTGGCTGAATGAACATACCTGACAATATCTTCAGTGTAACGTGTTCTATTATTTCTTTACCCTATTATGACCATTCTGATCCAAGTTAATATTTCTGTAAAATTTCTGGTGCCTTGTGGCTCTACTTTTTCACTTCAATGCGAGTGTGGATTTCCGTGATGGCATGTCTCATATTTTGTTTTATTTTTCAGGTTTGGTGCCATCAGCTGTTTTGATGGTCACAAAGACACAGTGATAAGACTGTCCACAAGCAATCATGTGGAGCAGAAGCATTGGTTTTAGTGGTATATGTTATTAAGGCATCTTTTGAACAACATTGTCAAGTTCCAGCCTTGAGGCAGGATGCAAAGTGTGTGCTCAAGAACTGACTTGTGTTTCTCAGGGGAGACTGCTTGGTGAACTGCAACACAGGAGGCGGAATATAGTCACCCAGCTGATTTCCACAGCTGTCTTACTGAAGCTGTTCAATAATGGAATGGTACATCTTACAGTGTAGTATTATACATTCTATGATATTTAGAAGTTAATGAGTTTGACACAATTGTTGTCATAGAAGTAACTTATGAAGGTTTGTGTGTCCATCTTTGTCAAGATGATTATTGATCAGTTATGTGAGGCAAATACAAAAGTAGAAAGGATAGTTGTTATTCTTACAAATCATGTTCATAATATTGTTATTTTGTAAAACAACACTGTAATTATTACTTTGATCACAGATACACCACCAGTTTGTTTTTATGAAAGTGGAAACAAATCAGTCTGGCATTTCTCTGCAGACTTGATAACTCACAAGGAAGTGAATGTTGCTTTGTGTCATGGTCAGTAATATTCCATCTGTATGATGGAGGCCTATAATAGTCAACCCTGATACCACCAAATAGACAGTAGATGGTGTGATCAACAACCCATGCTGCCACGGTACAGAGAAGAGAATGTCGTCATGGTGACCTGTAATAGTCAACCCTGATACCACCAAACAGACAGTAGATGGTGTGATCAACAACCCATGCTGCCACGGTACAGAGAAGAGAATGTCGTCATGGTGACCACATGATCCTCTATGAGCCAGTGTAGGCTCCTGCATCAAGAAATACTGAGAATATTCTCTGGAGGAATACCCAGTCAGTAACCAAAGAAAATGAAATGGGTGTTCGCTGAATATTTGTGTTTGTTTGCATTATTTCATGTCCATAACATAAGTCTTAACAGATTGAATGGTCAATAACCTGTGGAGTTCTGATGATGTGTTTTTCATCATCTATGTGTTAAATAAGTAGAGCCTGTCCAGTGTTTGTCAAATTGTTCTTAATTTTGCTTCCTGTCGGATTACATTTTGGAAATCGTCAACCTGTGCTTGTTGTGTCAGTGAATGGGTTGCCTTCCTCTAACATCAAACTGATTCATCATCATCTCATTGATTCACAGTTCAAAGCAGATTAAAACCAATCTCATTTAATGAATTTAGTGACTGGGGTTTATTGAGGGTCATCATGACCTGACAGCGTAGATTATTGAGGGTCATCATGACCTGACAGCATAGATTATTGAGGGTCATCATGACCTGACAGCATAGATTATTGAGGGTCATCATGACCTGACAGCATAGATTATTGAGGGTCATCATGACCTGACAGCATAGATTATTGAGGGTTATCATGACCTGACAGCATAGATTATTGAGGGTCATCATGACCTGACAGCATAGATTATTGCTCATGATATGAGTCACTGGTCCAGACTTGACTGTTGCAGAGTGCTACATTTCACAACAATAATCTTATCTTTGTCTTTTATTCTCATCAACATGCTCCAGATTTGCACTGTACAGATTATGAGGTCAAGTAGATTTCTCTAAAATGTAGTAACTTGATATGCAACTTGTGAGAAATTAACTTGCAGGCTAGTCGGAATTGGTTCCTGGTGTCTGTTAATGCTGTAATCTATGGTTAGTCTGCATTGTTACCTGTCACATTCATGTGCGAAATGGCTTCCAAAGTTTGCTAGCCAGTCGGGCTTGCTAAGCCTGAATGTTACTAGACCTCAAAATAATTCACTAGCCCGCTATTTGAATGTAGAAACTAAGCAAAAGACTACAAAAATAGATGAGAATAAGATATTGTCGGCATGACATGAGTTTCATCTTAAGCTGCTAATATGATGAACATTGTTATCAGGGCATAATCTTGCATGATTTAAATGTGTATTAACTTAGCAAGTCAGAGAGAGTGATATATTTACAAAATGACCCCATGAAAATTCACTAGCCAGCCGGGCCAGTGACTGTGGAGATTTACTGGCCTAACTGGAGTTTTACTAGCCACGGGCCAGCGGGCGAGTGGCTATTTCGCTCACAGGTCACATTACAGGTACAAGTTGGAGGCCTTGTTCACAGTCATGATTGTTGTCAAAATTATCCATAGTCACTGGAAAATTGATAGCTCTGGCGATCTTTAGGACTACATCATTGACAGTAGTGAGTGGTAACTCTTCCTAAATTCTGGCTCATACTTCTTATTCTGTGACCCGTGAAGGTCTGGGTTAGAATGAATCTTCAGTAACCCATGCTTGTCGTAAGAGGCGACTAATGGGATCGGGTGGTCAGGCACGCTGGCTTGGTTGACACATGTCATCGGTTCCCAATTGCGCAGGTTGATGCTCCTGCTGTTGATCACTTGATTGTCTGGTCCAGACTTGATTATTTACAGACCACCGCCATATAGCTGGAATATTGCTGAGTACGGCGTAAAACTAAACTCACTCACTCTTATTCTGTATTGAGACTGTCATTGTGATGTTATGGTGCGAATGTCTCAGCTCATAATGGTAATTTGTTTTTATGTTGATTTCATGATCTCCTCAGAAACCACCATAGTTATGATGATCAAAATGTGTGATCTTGTTTATGTCAATATTCTTACATCTAAATCCAAATTAAGACAACAAAAATTATCATGAAATTAAAAAACAAATTAAAGAACATACTGTTAAAATAACATCGATCTTGTTTTTGTGTTACACATTGTACAGATGGTGTACATTTTCTATCATGTCACATGTGTAAGTTTAACTGAACATATATGGCAGATATGAATGTAAATATTGTTTTAGGGAAACATTGGATGTGTTTAATGCAGATATACCAGAGTTTGTTGAGATCAGTTTAGGCCATGAGGCCAATTATTAATGAAGCCCCTCTGGTCAATCAAAGAAGCAAATCTAGAAAGTGCAACCCGAGTTGGGACAGATTTTTATGAAATATACCAGGTCTGTGAAAACCTGTCAGTGAAATCCAAATACATTTTTATGAATTACACAAATCTTGGTCAAAAATGGATTGTTTATTTGTGTTTTACTTGTAGAGAGCAGTAAGAAGACACCCACCAGAGATGTGCTGTATCAATATTCTTTGTTTTTTGGCTGTGCCTTATGAGTACTTCCTCCCCAGTATTACACAGTGTAGAATGTGCACGTCTTCCAAGACACGGACAAATCAAAATGATACAACACTATTTCATGTTACCATAGTAACCATGGTAACCAGTTACCATAGTAGTGTATTGATATACTATGTGTATTTGTAAAATAGACACCGAATATTCTATAAAAACAGATGTGCCAGGTTGCTTTTAGATTGCCCTCATGTTTCTCTCGTTTACATGACAAATACTTTAATCACTGTATTTAGCATCTAGAACTGAATATGTGATTATATGTGTTTTCTGGTTGAAAATACACAGCAAATATGTATCAGAACACTGTCCACTCTAAGCACTATATCTTACCCGACCTGGTTCTTATACTGGGGTGCACACTAATTGTGTAGGTTACTGACGGCAGTAATAAATAGTTGGTAAGAATCAGCTAGACCGCTTCACAAATTTGGTTTGAATGACATCATGCAAGTTATGTTTGTCAGTGACACAGCGGTTTTGAAGTTGGTGAACACCTGTCTTTTATAGTTACTTACCTTGAAGGAAGCTTTTTGCTCTTGTGTTTTGCAATGCTACTAGACGGGGATATTGTGGAAATAGGTGGGTGATCTTAAATCTTTCCATTTCATTGAAAAGCTGATGAACCTGTTAATGTCTGTCACCTTGTGTCTGTACTGTTCAATACCTGAGCCAGCAAGAATGCCAGGCAACTGAAACCTTTCAGAGTCGATTGCCTGTGTACAGACTACATTACTGGAGTCAGTGTGAAGTCAAGTCAACATATCAACACAATGTGTGTCAGACTGTACTGCTGTGTACTGGAGTCAGTGTGAAGACAAGTCAACACATCAACACAATGTGTGTCAGACTGTACTGCTGTGTACTGGAGTCAGTGTGAAGACAAGACAAGTCAACACATCAACATCAATGTGCGTCAGACTGTACTGCTGTGTACTAGAGTCAGTGTGAAGACAAGTCAACACATCAACACAATGTGTGTCAGACTGTACTGCTGTGTATTGGAGTCAGCATGAAGACAAGACAATGTGAAGCTGTTACAATCCATCACCCTTTATTATGCTGATGTTCTGTTCCATTTTTGTAACAGCAGTGAAATATCAAAGTAAATATTTTCTAATTTGTTCATTGTGTCTTTCATTTCTAACTGGATTCATGGTGTGTTGTCAGTTGTCTGCCCTTCCGTCTGCTATAGTGTGGTCTCAGAGCATAGTGTGGTGTGTTGTCAGTTGTCTGCCCTTCCGTCTGCTATAGTGTGGTGTGTTGTCAGTTGCCTGCCCTTCCGTCTGCTATAGTGTGGTGTGTTGTCAGTTGTCTGCCCTTCCGTCTGCTATAGTGTGGTGTGTTGTCAGTTGTCTGCCCTTCCGTCTGCTATAGTGTGATGTGTTGTCAGTTGCCTGCCCTTCCGTCTGCTTTAGTGTGGTGTGTTGTCAGTTGTCTGACCTTCCGTCTGCTATAGTGTGGTGTGTTGTCAGTTGTCTGTTGTCAGTTGCCTGCCCTTCCGTCTGCTATAGTGTGGTGTGTTGTCAGTTGCCTGCCCTTCCGTCTGCTATAGTATGGTGTGTTGTCAGTTGTCTGCCCTTCCGTCTGCTATGATGTGTGGTGTGTTGTCAGTTGCCTGCCCTTCCATCTGCTATAGTATGGTGTGTTGTCAGTTGCCTGCGGGCGGTGGGGTAGCCTAGTGGTTAAAGCGTTGGCTCGTCATGCCGAAGACCTGCTATAGATGGTGTGTTGAATCCCCACATGGGTACAATGTGAAGCCCATTTCTGGTGTCCCCCGCCGTGATGTTGCTGGAATATTGCTAAAAGCAGCGTAAAACCAAACTCAGTCAGTCAGTCAGTTGCCTGCCCTTCCGTCTGCTATAGTGTGGTGTGTTGTCAGCTGTCTGCCCTTCCGTCTGCTATAGTGTGGTGTGTTGTCAGTTGTCTGCCCTTCCGTCTGCTATAGTGTGGTGTGTTGTCAGTTGTCTGACCTTCCGTCTGCTATAGTGTGGTGTGTTGTCAGCATCTGCCCTTCCGTCTGCTATAGTATGGTGTGTTGTCAGCTATCAGCCCTTCCGTCTGCTATAGTGTGGTGTGTTGTCAGCTATCAGCCCTTCCGTCTCTGCTATAGTATAGTATCAGCCCTTCCGTCTGCTATAGTGTGGTGTGTTGTCAGCTATCAGCCCTTCCGTCTGCTATAGTATGGTGTGTTGTCAGTTGCCTGCCCTTCCGTCTGCTATAGTGTGGTGTGTTGTCAGTTGCCTGCCCTTCCGTCTGCTATAGTATGGTGTGTTGTCAGTTGCCTGCCCTTCCGTCTGCTATAGTGTGGTGTGTTGTCAGCTGTCTGCCCTTCCGTCTGCTATAGTGTGGTGTGTTGTCAGTTGTCTGCCCTTCCGTCTGCTATAGTGTGGTGTGTTGTCAGTTGTCTGACCTTCCGTCTGCTATAGTGTGGTGTGTTGTCAGTTGTCTGCCCTTTGGTCTGCTATAGTATGGTGTGTTGTCAGCTATCAGCCCTTCCGTCTGCTATAGTATGGTGTGTTGTCAGCTATCAGCCCTTCCGTCTGCTATAGTATGGTGTGTTGTCAGCTATCAGCCCTTCCGTCTGCTATAGTGTGGTGTGTTGTCAGTTATCAGCCCTTCCGTCTGCTATAGTATGGTGTGTTGTCAGTTGCCTGCCTTGTTGTGGGTAGCTATAGTTAAAGCGTATGTTGTTGACCGGGTTCAATCCCACATGGGTACAATGTGTGAAGCCCATTTCTGGTGTCCCCACCGTGATGTTGCTGGAATATTGCTAAAAGCCGCGTGAAACCAAACTCAGTCAGTGTTGTCAGTTGCCTGCCCTTCCGTCTGCTATATAGTGTGTCAGTGTCTGCCCTTCCGTCTGCAGTGTGGTGTGTTGTCAGTTGTCTGCCCTTCCGTCTGCTATAGTGTGGTGTGTTGTCAGTTGTCTGACCTTCCGCCTGCTATAGTGTGGTGTGTGTGGTCAGTTGTCAGCCCTTCCGTCTGCTATAGTATGGTGTGTTGTCAGCTATCAGCCCTTCCGTCTGCTATAGTATGGTGTGTTGTCAGCTATCAGCCCTTCCGTCTGCTATAGTATGGTGTGTTGTCAGTTATCTGCCCTTCCGTCTGCTATAGTGTGGGTGTGTTGTCAGCTCCGTCTGCTATCAGCCCTTCCGTCTGCTATAGTATGGTGTGTTGTCAGTTGTCTGCCTTCCGTCCTATCCGTCTGCTATAGTGTGGTGTGTTGTCAGTTGTCTGCCCTTCCGTCTGCTATAGTGTGGTGTGTTGTCAGCTATCAGCCCTTCCGTCTGCTATAGTATGGTGTGTTGTCAGCTATCAGCCCTTCCGTCTGCTATAGTATGGTGTGTTGTCAGCTATCAGCCCTTCCGTCTGCTATAGTGTGGTGTGTTGTCAGTTATCAGCCCTTCCGTCTGCTATAGTGTGGTGTGTTGTCAGTATCAGCCCTTCTGCTATAGTATGGTGTGTTGTCTGCTATCAGTAGTGTGGTGTGTTGTCAGTTGTCTGCCCTTCCGTCTGCTATAGTGTGGTGTGTTGTCAGTTGTCTGCCCTTGCCTGCTATAGTGTGGTGTGTTGTCAGTTGCCTGCCCTTCCGTCTGCTATAGTGTGGTGTGTTGTCAGTTGTCTGCCCTTCCGTCT